CCCCCCCCCCCCTCCTTAAAATGCTCTAGACACGGCCCTGTGTGCTAAAGTCTCCCAGTGTCTTTAGACTAGTTTTTGTGTTATGTGTTTTGTTGGAGTTCTAATTCTGTTTCTCCTGTGCTTCAGATCTCACTCCACCTGCATTCACCCTACATTCTGCCTGCCATGTCCGACCAGCAAACTACTCACTCAACTCTGCCAACATATCTCTGGCCTGTTTAGTTTCCAGCTCACCTCAGCCAACAATCTTCAACAGCAAATGAGAGATGGATTGTGTTGTCTGATTTTTGGCAATAAATGAATTTTATTTGCATATTTTTTAGTCTGTGTTCTGCTTTTGGGTCCAAAGCTGTGTTTGGTTACAACACTTTTACCTTTCTATATGCCTAACAGCATATTTATTTGGCAAGGATTGATGCATTCTATGCTGAAAATCACCAGTTGGTGGGATCTGGTTTGTTTTAAGGCCCTTGGTTAGCATGAAGTCAATGAAGTCAGCTGTTAATGTTTAATCATGGGTGCAAGAGAGCCCTCCAAAACACATCCGAGTTCAGCTCCCTTACATAATGCAATTTCATCCCGTTTATTCTGCCATTGCATCTGACTAACATGCCACTTAGTTCCTGTCTCCACTCTTTTTCTAACCAAGTACCTTGTCTGGGGTTGACAAGAAACAATTTAACAGAAATAATAGGCAGGAAGGAGTTCTGTGGAAATGCTTTTCCCTCAGCTGAAAATAAAGCAATTGGACTCCAATTTTATACAATTTAGCATCTTTGTAGTAATATTTTTCCAAGAACAATTGGTGGTTCTTAATATCTTTTGAAAAAAGAGACTGGGAGAAAGTGGGTTCAGCTTTCTTTATTATATATTATGGGGGATTACATTTTTGATTAACTGACCATTTTAAATATATGAGACATTAAATCTCATATTCATCAGTATTATTTTCGCAAAAAAGTATTTAGGAAGTGCATTACTGTAAAATCTGCCTTATTTGTCAATTAGAAGAGACTTTTAGAAGAAGAGACGCAAATATGCATTTAGAACTTGCTGTCTTATTCAGATATGAGGTCTTTAATGTGTAGTTTAATGATGGGTGTTAATGGAACTTAACGCAGATTTATAAATGATAGTTTTGGTGTTATTTACCAATAGAGAAGTGCTCCTAGGATTATTGAAGTGGTGGAGTTATTGAATTGACAGCAAGCCTGGAAGCTTTAATCTATGCAATAATTTGCAGGGTAATGCAATATACTCAGTGTTTACAGATGGCACCAAATAATGGGTCATACAGAGCAGATTAATGGCATTCACTGGCTGAATTATGCCATTTTGGAGAAGACTGTATGTGTGTGTGTGTATGTGTGTGTGTATATATATATATATATATTTAGTTGCTACTGTACATACATAGTGAGTCTGTTTTTAGTAAATCATTAAAAGTGACTTGTTGTTATAATGACTATAATTATTTTAGTGATAATGCTGTATGACATTCAGTGTAAATCTGAAAGCAAATAAAACACAGCCACATCACTGAATTACCACTTGAATTACCTTCATTTTTAAGTAAGATCTCTGTTTCACAACTCTGTGTGACAGCTGTGCTGTTTTTATTTTAATCGTTTGATTAATCTGATGGAGTAATATGTTCTAGATAAGGAAGTGTAAGATGTTTAGGAAAATATGGGACATTTTAATCAGATTTACGGCTTCAGTTTCCATAGAGAGAAAACGTCTCGGGTTACTTATGTAACCATGGTTCCCTGAGGGGAACGAGACACTGCGTCCTCTAGGGGTCGCTATGGGGAACGCCTCGTCGTGACCCGTGTCTGAAGCCTACATTGAAAAAACACCAACTTGTTTGGCCGGCGACAGCCATGACGTCACTACCGTCGCGACTAGTACAAAATAGGCGCCGGTAGCGCACATCATTCACTTCTTCGTCTGAAGCTTGTGTCCGCAGCATGGCACAAAGCTAGAGGACGCAGTGTCTCGTTCCCCTCAGGGAACCATGGTTACATAAGTAACCCGAGACGTTTTCTCTGTTCTGAACCTTTAGTTGAGTTGCAGCTAAAGCAAATATGTGTGATTATTCTGCAATTAACCAATGACCTGGCTATAATAGTTTAGGGCAAACACAGCAAGCTAATAACCTGGCACAAGCCTCACACACTTCAGGTGTAATTCTCCCTCAAACGCATCACCACGTCGGGCATGCCACAAGGCTATGTGCTGGGTCCGCACGAGTTTTGAGATTTTGATGGCGGGTTAGTTCTGGTG